TCTCCCCTTCACCAAGTCCCCCCAACAAACCCCATTACAGTCACTGTCCATCAGCGTAGTAAGATGTTGTAGAATCCCTACTTGTCTTCTCTGTGTTGCACAGCCCTCCGCTTTCCTCCCCCCACATTATACATGCTAATCGTAATGCCCCCTTTCTTCTTCCCCGCCCTTATCCCTCCTTTCCCTCCCATTGGACCTTGTTTTTTTGATCCATTTAGCCACCCTGTGTCCTTTTATTGGAGTATGTAGCCTTTTTTATTCTTAACATAATTATTGGCAGTTGTGTACTTATTGCCATTTTGCTAGTTGTTTTCTGGTTGTTTTTGCCATTCTTCTCTGTTCCTGTGTTCTTCTTTTGTTCTCTTTAACCTTGTTGTTTTGATGGGGTTTTTTTTGTTATATTTGGGTTCCTTTCTCTTTATTTTTTGTATATTTGTTGTAGTTTTTTTGGTTGCCAGGAGGTTCATATATATTGACCTTTATATATAGCAGTCTATTTTAAGCTGATAGTTATTTAAGTTCAAATGTATTCTAAAAGCACTACATTTTTACTCCACACTCCAAGTTTTGTTTCTGACATCTTATTTTTTGTTTTATTTTGTGTTTCCCTTAGCCCCTTATTATAATTTTAGTTGATTTTGTCTTCAACCGTCATATTAATTTTTTAAGTGGCTGATTTACTGCCTTTACTATATGTTTACCTTTTCTAGTGAAATTTTTTTCTTTCATATATTTTCTTATTTCTAGTTATTGCCTTTTCTTTTTCACTTGAAGAAGATGCTTTAACATTTCTTGTAAAGCACATTTAAGTGGTGATTAACTCCTTAAGTTTTTGCTTGTCTGGGATACTCTTTCTCTCTCCTTCAATTCTGAATCATAATTGAATAATTGAAATCTTCTGTATCATCTGATCTGTTGTTGATTCCCTCTAGTTTATCTTTCATTATTTTATTCTTTGCTCTATTTGGTTCTTTCCTATGTTTGTACTTTCTTGAAGTTCCCACTGTGACCCTGCATTCTCCCAAGTTTGGTGAGCATCTTTATGACCATTACTTTTATCTCTTTATCAGGTAAATTACTTATCTCTGTTTTATTTTCCTGGGGCTTTATCTTGTTCTTTTGTTTGGAATGTATTCTTCTGTCTCCTTATTTTTTTTGACTTTCTGTGTTTGTTTCTGTGAATTAGGTGAAACAGCTACCTCTTCCCATCTTGAAGGAGTGGCCTTGTGTAGGAGCATCCCCTATGTAGACTGCATGTACCTGGCTGTTGCTGGCCAGTGTTGCATGGGCCAGGGGGTCTGAGTGTGCTCTGTTCCAGGGTTGCCCTGATAGGATGGCTGGAGCTCAAGAAGAAGTAGGTATTGGCCGGGAGTCCTTGAGGTGCTCTATGCCAGAGTTGTCCTGGTAGGACAGCTGAACCTGAAATGGGCACAGGCCAGAGGTGTCCCAATAAATGTGGTGCCAGGGCAGTCCTGGCCAGATGACTGGGTTGGTGCTGTCCTGGAGAGGGGAGTCCCAGTGTGTACCATGTTGGGCCTGCCTTGGTGGGACAGCTGGAGCAGAGTGGGCTAGGGACTGGGGCTTGGTAGGACATCCCTAGCAGGCCAGCGAGAGCAGCTGGACCCTGATCCTACCTGTGCTATCAAGGTGAAGGGTAAACATAAACAATGGTGCTCACTGGTGCCTCTGATCCCAGATATTGTCTTAGAACACTCCCCCACCATTTAGTGGATGCCCGAGGGTTAATAAATAAATAAATGAATCTCTCTCACTTTTAGCCTAGTTGCCCTTTTAATCCTTTTTTTGCTGTGCCCCAGAGCAGGTTATCTGCACGCAGGTCCCTCCGTGCTATCCCTCCCTACTGCAGGTCATCATGTAAGGGGTGGGGTTCTTGTTATTACTGTGTCTCTGTCTCTCCTACCCTTCTCTATGTGGTCCTTCTATAATTTGTTGTGCAGAAGCTGTTCAATCAGCCCTCAGTTGTTCTTCAGGAGGAATCGTATATATAGAGGTGTAGATTTCATGTGTCTGTGGGAAGGGATGAGTTCAGGGTCTTCCTGTGCCACCATCTTGGACTGCCACTCTCACTAGTCTAGTCTATATTGCTTCTACTTCCTAAGTACATCTTGTCATGAATTTTGGTGGAGCCATGGTCCACTGCTCCCTTAGGGAGCCTGAAAAGGACAGACACTTGCTTTGCCAGGCTCTTTTGTTGCTAGAGTACTTAAACAAAAGCTTTAATGTGACCCATTAGGCTCCCCATGACCTGAGCCCTACTTACCTTTGCCAATATCATCTTGTACTACAGCTTTGCCTCTTGCTTCCTGCTTCATCCATTCTGACATTCTGAAAAGCATCCTGACAGCCTCTTAGCTCCTAGTACATCACTACTTAACTGTAAGGTGATTATCTGAGAAAATGATGATTTAAGAGGTCCAATTTACTGAAAACCATAAGGTGAAAATTGGTATAAAAATTGAGTGAAGCATAAGAACAGGCAATGTTTAGCTCATTCCTCATTTCAATCAGGTTTTAAAACAGCTACTATCTTCCAGGTACAATATGAGGCTTAGGCATCTATCCATAAATGAATAAAACCCCATCTTTGACTTGAAGTCACATAGTCTAACAGGAAGAAAGACTTGTGAGCAAATAAATACAATTCAATGTTAGGATGAAGGCACTCCTAAAGGTCAGGGTAAAGACTGCTGTGGTCTTTGCCCTAAGTCTTTGGGGTCAGCAGAGTAATGAGAGTATGTGCTCTGATTCCCCATTTCCTCAACCACATTTCTGGCTGGATGTTATATGCTCTCTGCATAAACACCTTCAGTGGTGCTGCTGTCACTCCAGAGGCAGCCAACTCATTCCACTTCTGGGCATCTCTGGTTGTTAGCTAGTTCTTTATGTGCCTGATGTTGAGCAGTTAGATGGATTATTCCTCTCTTCACTTACCCATTGACTTTAATTCTTCTCTAAATTTAATAATACTGTTTCATCACAAGGTTAAAAAAATCTGGGAAAATGGAAAAGGTCCTCTCTAAAAGGGAAAATATAAAGATGAAGCTTCAGAAGTCCATGTTTATAACTATTTTTTTCCTCAACATATTTTATTTCTCTTTTCCTTTCTGTTACAGAACCAGTAAAATGCACCGCTACCAAATATGGACATCACTGCTAGACTGGTTAAGACCTAACTCTGAGTTAATCATTCAGTCGGCAAAACAAATTATTATCCATGAAAACTATGATGGATCCACATACCAAAATGACATAGCTTTGATTGAACTAAGAGCACGCACAAACCAAAGACGATGCTCACTGCCTCACTCCATCCCTGCCTGTGTGCCCTGGTCTCCATATCTATTTGGACCTAATGATAAATGCATCGTTTCTGGCTGGGGTCGAGAAAAAGGTATATATTTTATAATTTGTTAATCAGAATCCAGGAGCTGAAAATGAATGGGAACACAAATACATAGGAGCTACCCTCCTAATGCTCAGAGAGAAACAGCATCAAATCCAGAGGAGTGAGCGTCTGGCCAGGGCTGGCTTCAAGTATGTGGGACCTGTACAGTTGCCCAGCACCCCAGGCTCTGAAAGGATCCATAATTGGTGTTCTGCTCTGCTGTCACCATCATGACAGTAATTTTTGCAGGGATCCCACCTCACATTTTAATTTTTCACTGGGCTTTTCAACTTATGTAGCCGGTCCTGATCCAGTTTCAAAGGACACCTACACTCTGTACTCCTGAAGCATACACTGAGGGGTAACCATTCACCAAGAAAAAAATAGTGGCAGAGGAAATCTATAATAGACATTTTGGGTGTATTGGAGAGATATGGTTGGAGGATAAAATGGTTTTCAAAGTGATTGGCACAGTATCTGCTGAGTCAGTGACCTCACAACCCAGCTTTCTCCTTCCCTCCTTCTTCCTCTGTGCCCCACAGCCCCCATCCCACAGAGAGAGAGCATAAACACTTCATTCCTTGAGCTTCTAAGAAGACTTGAGCTGAACATTCATATGAATAAGAGATGTAGACATTTAGATACAAATTATTAGGAAGACCTTCTAAATTGGAGGTTAGATTACAATTAAATTACATAATCCAACACACTCTTTATAATTGCTCATTGAAAATTATATATGTATAAATTAACCATGATTTTTGGTATGTTTGAATACCTAAGACTTAATAAATACTAAATTTTATTAGTAGCCAATTCATCCAGAAGGCATTATTTTTTTATATTTGTTCTGTTTAAAAAAAAACTTTTATTATGTATGTTTACAAACATACAAAACAAAAACAAACAAAACAGTATAATAACCTACTTATTAATCACCCAGTTGCCTCAGTTATCAACATTTTACCATTCTTGTTTTAGCTTCCTGGATCAAATTCAATCTCAATCTCAATAGGATAATTAGGAAGGTTTATTTATAAAGGAATTAATAATAAAAATATGGGTGGGAGGTTTGGGAATCCACAAGGACTATGCAGGAACCCAGGACTAACAAACCAGAACTCAGTCTGTCCTAGATGTAAAGGTGTAAGAGGAAGGAGAAGTTACCAGAAGGAGAAAGAACCTCAGGTAAAGCAGGCTGCCTTGAGAGAAGCAATGACCTTGGGCCAAAAGTTACAGCCAGCCCCAATCTTGCTATCCCCTCTCTTTACCCTTCCTCCCTTCTGCTGGGGTCCTCAGTTGGAAAATAGAGGCTAAGGGATTCCTACTGGGGCTTTCCCTCCAGGACAGGCCCTTAGGGCAGATGAGGGCAGAGGCAGGGCATTGAATGGTAGAGAATGGATCTGAAGGACAATCAAGAGCTATTCAACATATTCCTCCCATACACACATTTATTTTTTCCTGGTGTATAGTAAATTGAGTCCCAGATATATAATTTCACCCATAAGATAAGGACTTAAAAACAAAAAGAAAACACCACTCATGCCCAACAAAATGAAAGTGATTCCATAATATCATCCAATAACCAGCTATTTAATATTCCTCAATTATTTACAAAGTATTTTTATAATCAGATTATTTCCAAACAAAGTTTGCACATTGTATTTGATGCTCTTTTTCTTAAATCTCTTTTAATCTAGAACAATTGCCCTTCCTTTCATTTAAAATGTATTTGTTAAAGAAACTGGGTCATTCTTATTTTAGTATCTCCACACCTTGAATTTGGCTGATCATATTTGATGTGGCATTTAGCATGTTCTTCTATTCCATGTATCTTCTATAAAGTGATAGATATGGTCTTATGCACTTGGTTTATTTATTAAACAACTATGGTTCAACACATTTATTGAGCCCTTACTGTAAATGCAAGATAGTAATGCTAAAGTGCTAGGATTTCACTGATGAAAAATATGGATCCAGTCAGCAAACAAGGGGTACAGAAGCTACCAGGTTAAAAGACAAAGGCCAGCTCTCATAGGACTTACAGAGTACATAGGAGCCATCATACATGAATGCCGCCATTAGATAGCAGAATGTGACTAGTGCCTCAAGAAGTACATAAACAGGAGTTCATGGTAGGGAGCAATTTCCTGAGTCATTAAAAATTGCTCACACAGTACAGGAGCTCCCAGTTTTTGAAGGTTTTCTCCTGAGTTAGGGGATATAATAAATTTCTAATTTTTCAAAGTTTTTTTTTGAAGAAAAATGGTAGTTTATAGATTGAGAAAGTAAGTTATTTGCCATAGGATGTTTAGTGTATAATTGAATTACTGAGTTCATGGATTAAGCGAGTACTTAAATATTTATTAAGCAGCTACTTCATGCTAGCACAAGGCTGGGTGCTGGTGCAGTGGATGAGCAAGACCTAGCCACTGCCCTCCTTGAGCATGAGGATTGCTGCAAGCTGGGAAAGAGGAAGGAGGCGATATGGACCAAAGATTCACCCCTTATGCCTGAGACATCTCGCCTGCATTCTTAGGTTTTTCTCCACTTCCCTAGACTGTCCCTCATTAACAGTACCTGACCCTTTCTCTTTCCTTGGATGAAAAATGTTGAAGTTCCAAGTTTCTAACTTAAATGGGAAGGAAATCCTAAATCCTTTCAGTCACTTTCAAATCACTTAGGAGATGGAGTTCATCACAGACAGGCAAAAACACATACGCACTAATAAGTTCATATGTAGTTTCTTCATTTTAACTTCTTAGATTAAAAGAGTTGTTTTTGCTTTAACAACCACTTTCAAGGAAATAAAGGACTGTAAAAAAATAGATGCTATTTATGTGAGAAAACCTGATCACTGACTCCTACCTAGTTTCCCTACTGGACTCAGCAATCACCAGGGAAGGAGTTTATCTCATTCATCTCAGAGTATCCAGCTCTTTACTAAGTGAGTAGGATTTCAGACCTTTATTCAATAAATGCCCTTGCCTACTTTAGAAAGACAATTATAGAAACTGAGGATATTTGCACTATATGGTTAAAAATGTGAATTATCCTCAAAGTTTATATATGTATTAAAGAATATGTATATTCTTATATATTCCTAATGATTTCCTAAATTATGAGAGTATGTATTTTTTTAGATTTCTTACTTGTGACTTCTAAATGTCTACTTGTTCTCTCATTTTGTTTAGATAACCAAAAAGTCTATTCACTTAAATGGGGTGAAGTTCACCTAATAGACAACTGCTCTAGGTTTTACCCAGGTCGCTACTTTGAAAAAGAAATGGAATGTGCAGGTAAGCACTGAGTGGTTTCTCTGAGATATATACAGTTGACCTTTGAATAACATGGGTTTAAACTGTGCAGATTCACTTACAGGCATAGTTCTTCAATAAATACTGTATAGTACTAGTATAAATGTATTTTCTCTTATAATTTTCTGAATAACAGTTTCCTTTCTCTAGCTTACGTTATTGTAAGAATACAGTATATAATACGTATAACATACAAAATATGTTAATCAACTGTTTATGTTATCTGTAAGGTCAGTAGGCTATTAGTTAAGTGTTGGGGGGAGTCAAAAGTTATACCCAGATTTTTTATTACTTGGGGGATCAGAACCCCTAACCCCCATGTTATTCAAGAGTCAACTGTACCTACCAAACATCTCTCCTCTCCACCAGATCATCCTACTTGCTCTGGGCCCTGACCCTTTGCATTTGGCCTTTTAGCTGTTACATCATTCCCCTCAGTTCAAGTTCCCTCATTTTAATGCTAAGAGTAAAAATTGTCCTTAAGCTATCATATAGCAATATAGCAAGATAGCTAAGAGCACAGACTCTGGAACCAGACTGCCTGGGTATCTATCCCAGGTTTTGCCGATTACTGTGTATGTGACCTTGAGCCAGTTTCCTCATCTACAAAACTGGGAGTCTTAATAGATGAGGAAATTAAGGTGCAGAGCAGTCTTACCCAAAGTCTTAGGATAAGAAGTCATACATCCAGGATCAAAACCCAAACTTCTAAATAAAAATTCAAAAGATGTCATTTCAAATATATCCAGTTGGAACTAAAGTCTCCTTCCTTGGAAACATCATTGCACTTCTTATGATTCCTACCACATCTCCTTTAATAGCATAGTGATGACAGAGTCCCTACCCAACACAGCTAGAGCAATTCCTGCTTCTAGTGGTGACTCAGAGGCCAGGTACCAGCCAGGACAGTGCATGCATGTAGGATGCCTTTTTGAAATGTTTATAGTGTATTACAAAAAAGGCAGAGTTATTGACATCCTCTAATGGGATACAGTGATTTAAAAATCTTGGGAAGTCATATAAGTGAGAAGAAAGTAAACAGACCATTTTCTGTATGCTCCCATCTTAAAATGGAGTTTAGGATCACAAAGGACAAAAGGGGAGAATAGCACAAAATCTACTAAGTGGCAATATCACAGTAAGAGGATAAGCTCTGAAGTCTGACTGAGTTCAAGTCCAGGCTCTGCCAGGGCCTGTAAGGGAGGGCACGTGTTATTTCCTGTTAGGAGATTGTTAGAAAGCCAAAGTCGCTAAGCACATTGGTGGGAGAGGCAGGGAGTCGGCCTGAGAGCCTTGACCACGGAGGCACACATGGCTTTTCCTTTATCTTTCTCAGGTACAGTTGATGGTTCCATCGATGCCTGTAAAGGAGACTCTGGAGGCCCTTTAGTCTGTACGGATGTCAACAATGTGACCTATGTTTGGGGTGTTGTCAGTTGGGGTGAAAACTGTGGAAAACCGGAGTTCCCAGGTGTCTATACAAAAGTGGCCAATTATTTTGACTGGATCAGCCATCATGTGGGAAGGTCTCTTATTTCTCAGCACAATGTATAAAATTGTAATTGCTCTCTTCTTTCTATTCTTTTAAGAATTCCATTTTAATCGAAATACTGCATAATTAGCACTTCTGTAGGGAAAGAAAATAAAGCAAATTTTATTGGACATTTTTAAATCTCTATAAAGTTTATTCCATATTGGAATTTTGCTGTAGAATTCTCAAATATTTTAGTCAGGCACATATATTTTATTTGTTAGAAAATGCGATTAAATTATCCTTTCATACAGGAGTGGTGTATTGACTTAACTGAAAGTCTAGCTAGATGAATGGCACTGGAGTCACATACACCTATATTCAAATCCCAACTCTACCACCTGCTAATTCCTTGGCCTCAAGCAATTTATTATCTTCTTGGTGTTCCATTTTCCACCTTTAAAATGGAAACTGGAATTATGAAAAAATGAAGCTACACACTGAAGTAAATTGTTAGGCATAGTACTTGTCACAGTGAATAACTGACCTCACAACTCTTGGTCTGTTTCTCTGCTTCCATAAGTATTAAAAGGTCTCAAAAATTTGTCTTTAGTTCCTCATTTCACAAGTTCTCCTTGAGCCTTTCCTTAAACCTCTCCACAAATACAACACAACCACTAACCTTCTTGGTGTCAAACTGCACAATCACTTAACCGTTCTCATTGCCTCCTGCTCCCTGCTGCAGTGGACACTACCAATGTCTCAGAGTATCCCTCTCTGCCTGGCCTGCTGCCACCCTGGCTGCTAGCCTCAGACTCCTTGCCAGCCTCTCTATGTGCTCTGTGGTTATTTCATATAGACTCAGCTTTATAGCCCACCCACAGTCCAATGACTCACAAATCCTTATCTCCATCCCTGGCCCTTCTAGAACCCTGGACCAGTATATCTCACTGAGCATTGAACATCTCCATCTGGGCATCCAATAGCATTTCAAAAAGAGATGGCCAACCCTTCTTTACCTTCTCCTCCCTCCTTCGTGAATGGCATCACCATCCACTCCAGCCTCCCCTGTGGACCCAGTGCACAGGAGGCACCCAGGCTCTCTCAGTCACATGCTCTGCTTTACTCTCAGCACAGCACTTGTCATCACCCAACATATTCTGTGTTCTTTTGTCTACCCCTCCCCTGTGATACTCACCCACCTGCCATCTGCCCCGATCACTGACGCATGAGAAGAAAGACTGTCAGTGCTCCTTCTGTCTGCATTCCTAGCGCTTGGTCAGAGAAAGTACTGAGGGAATAAACATTTGATGTCTTCATTAATTTATTTTTTTAAAGCTCAGCTATCATCCTGAAGACAGAGGTATATTTTTCACATAAATATTACATTCAATACCTGGGGTCCACTCCCAGATAGAAGCCAATTGTTGTAATAATAGAAATGCTCATTTCTGCACATTTTCCAAAATCAGCTAATGCCCAGATTTTTTTCCTTTTTAAAAAATTTTTGTACAATATATATAACAAAAATGTAACCATTTTGACCATTTTGAAGTGTACTATTCAGTGGCATTAAGTACATTCACATTATTGCACAACTATCTCCATCTCCAGAAAATTTTCATCTTCCTAAACTGAAAGCCTGCACTCATTAAACAGTAATTCATCCTCCCCTCCCAGGCTGCCCATATTTTTAATTCCTTTTTTCACCGAATGCAAGAGAGTATTTGGCTATCAATGGCTGTGTAAGACAGAATGCCAAAAAACTGATTTAAATAATGGCTGTTTTACTTTGCTCAAGCATCTGGGGATTGTCCGGGCTCAGCTGGCCAGTTCTTACATCCTTCCTTTCATGTAGTTGCCCTCAGGTGGGGCTGAGGCAGACGTCATCTTGAAGGCTTCTTTATTATGTTGTCTGGTGCCTGGGCCAGGAGAACTCACACAGCTTTCTGAACATCTCTCTTTATGTGGCTTTTCAACATGGTGACTCAGGGCGGTCAGACATCTTACACAGCAGCTGACAAATGTCCCAGAAGACCTTGCAGAGACGGCCCAGCCTTGGCAGTCATTTAGCCTCACTTCCATCACAAAAACCTGACCTTCAAGGGGAGGAAATACAATCCGTTTTTTGATAGAAGGGTGTCAAGGAATTTGTGGCATGTTTTAAAACGGAGCATCTTCTCCCGGCCCAGCAAACCTGGAACATGTGGCACCTTAGAAGATAAGTGCATATGAGACAAAAAGAGAAAAGTACTAAGGGCTGCAAGCTGGAAACCCCAGCATATGGGCACCTCAGCTGACCTAGGAGCAAGCAGCTTCATGGCTCCTCGAAGAGCCACACCAGTCTGCGTGACCTAGGACCGAGAGGCCTCGCAGCAGAGCAGACCAGGGTGAGGGCATGAGGGTGAAGAACCAGCGTCTCCACAGTGACTCCACGTGGCAGAGCCTGAGAACAGCAGGGGTGGGATGACCTGACTCGCCCTCTCTCCGCTTAGAGGTCTGTGTAAGGGCTCCTGGTTGTAGACCACAGAAGCTATCTAATTGGTTTAATGGAAAAATATTTATTCAGATACTATGCAGTTCAGTGGATCTCCAGGAAAGCTAGAGAGTTAGAAGGTAGACATCTGGAAATACTGCTCCAGGACCACTACAGGATTGCTTATCAGAGCCTCCCACTGCCACTAGCTCAGATCCCAGGCTCCACGTACAGCTCAGACTCCACTGCTGGGCACTGGACACTGCTGCTTCTGGGAGTTAGCATGTCGTCCTTGAAGGTGGTCAATGGTCAGAACTCACTAGATGTGGAGCTCTGCCATCACCTTGTATTTAACCCGGTCCTCAGAGCTTACCATCTCATCTTATGAGGGAGATGGGAAAACAAATTATAAATCTGCACTTTGTTGACACAATGGTGAGGAAAACCCAAGGGAGACTTGTAAATCAGCCTGAAGTATCAAAGAAGGCTTTCCCAGAGGTGAGCTTAATCTGAATATGGACAAACTTTCCAGGCAGATGCAAACGCAAAGGCCCTGTGCCTTGAAGACAAGCCACCCAAGGGGACAGAGCAGTTCAGCATGACGAGCCCAGGGTTCAGCTGAGGGGCTGGAGAGGGAGAAAAGGCCAGATCAGGGAAGGCCTCAGGCCAGAGGGCTGGTTCTATTGAAGTACTTTGGACAGTTCGCAAGGGAGGCACTGAGGAAGATGGACTGGAGTTAGGTGAGATGGGGTAGGGAAGACAGGGACTCTTGGAGTAATTTAAGGGAAAAATGATGAAGGCAGAAACACTTTGAAAGAGGAGGCACTGATTCTAGATACCTTAAGAAGTGGAAATAGACGGCATTAGGGAACAGAAGAGAAGACAGGGCACCAGTGGAGGAATATGAATTTGGGGTTAATTCCCAGGTCTTCTCTTGGATAATGAGGTGATTGGTGCTGCCACTGACTACAGAAAAGAGGGAAGAGAGGAATGAAGTAAAATTAATTAGGGATATTTTGAAGCTGTTGCTGTCTATAGGAGCCCAGAGAATATAACATAGTAGAGTAGAGTAGGAAATAGGAAGCTGAGCATTAATTAGAGGTTTAGAAGTAGCCAGAAACCCTAACTAAAGAAACCACCTACCTAGAATTTGTCTCGATGGTCTAAAACCCTGCAATCTCACCTAAGTGAGTTCCTTTCCATCTTCTCCAGTGCTTCCTCTCTGTGTATGAAGTAATCTTACATTCTACCCACAAAGATCTCTTGAAAATCTTTCTCCCTGACTGCTATGGTCTGAATGTCTGTCTTCCCCAAATCCCTATGTTGAAATCCTAATGCCCAATGTGATGGTATTAGAAAATGGGATCTTAGGGTGGTGCTTAGGCCATGAGGATGGAGCCTGCATGAATGAAATTAGTATTCTTATAAGAGATCCCAGAGATCTGCACCTCTTCCACCGGGTGGGAACACAGTGAGAAGTCAACAATTTGCAATCCAGAAGAGGGCCTTCTCTAGAAACCAACGATGCTGCCACCTGGCTCTCGGACATCAGCTGCCACAGCTGTGAAAAATAAACTTCTGTTGTTTATAAGCCAACCACTCTGAGGTTATTTTAACAGCCTGATGCACTAAGATAAATTGCCTGATGGTAGACCTCCCTGAATAGTCAGGCTGACCAGCCTGGGCTCACAGGTCGGGTGTAGCCATCTCCAGTCCTTCACTTCATCCTCACCTTGAAAGCTACTAATGCCATTGAATTTTTTTTAAGGCAGAGGCTGGAATGTAGCACTTCCCCTTATTTTGAGCCCCTTCTAGAAACTAACCTTCCAGCCTTAGCACCGGAAAAAGATTGGTCCTTATGGTTGGGATTGTGTCATGATGTGGCACTTATTTTCATTACAATAACACTGCTGAGGTCATTGAATGAGACATTGGAAAAGCCTAAAAAACAGAAACTGCCCTTGATCATTTGTATCTTGTTGATTTTGTGTTATTTCAAGAAACACAAAGGATTGCATAATATGCTAGTTCCCAAGCATTCTGAGTTAATATGTTATATTAAACCCAGTAAATTTTCCATTCTTACCTCATCAATACCATCATGTTCCATGAATGTCCATGTACAGTGAAGAGACCATTAGGAACTCCTAAAAGGAGTATCTGATTGATCATGCCTACACGGGGAAGTTCTATATGGAAAACACAGCCTAGTCTCAGCCATCCAGATCTCTCTCCAAGGCACTTATATCATTCAGACAAGAATCACCACAGATACAACATATTTTACATTTTGTAATTTTGTTTTGATAATATTGACCATTGCTTTCCCCAATTCCTCTTCCTTTTTTTCTTCTTCTGACAATTGTTTTGCTCCCAGTACTCCACTGAAACTTCTCTTCTGTTCACCAATAACCTCCATATTATTAAATCCAGTGGTCAATATCCAGTCTTCATCTTCCTACAACTTAGACCTTGTTCTGCTTTTCTTTACACACTCACTTTTTAGAGGATCTCATCCAGTTCCATGGCTTTAAAAGCCATTTCTATGCTGATGACTTCTAAATTTATTTCTAGCCCTTGTCCCACCACTGAACTACAAATTCAGAATAAGCTTCCCAAACATGGTATGTCTAAAATTAGTTTCCTAAATTTTCCCTTCAGTCTGCTCTTTCTGGAATCCTCTGCATTTCAGATAGCAAGAACTATCATTCTAATTGCTTACCAAAACCTCAACGTCATCCTCAACTCCTCTCTTTCCTTTATATGACGTATTTGATCCATCAGTAAATCCTGTTGGCTCTACTACCAAGTTATATCTAGAATGTGACCACTTTTCATACCTCCACTGCTCCCTTCCTGGACCAAGCTGTAATGTCCTACCTGGTTTATTATGCCCTGACTTCCTGGTTTCAGCTCCTGCCCATTCATAGTCTAAGTATGTACAGACAAACTAGCCATTTGCTAGCAGTTGAGACCTGGGAAACATATGTGGGTTTGTGACCAACAGTGTCACAGTAATAACAGGTTTTGCTAATGAGATGAAAATGCCCTGTAAAGAAGGGTCTTCTCAAACATTTTGTGCTATTAGGAAGAAAAGATGGGAGTGGGTCACCTAGAAGTTATATGATATGGTCAGTCATGGACATGCATCTATGCAGATGCACAAGGCCCTGAATTCAAAAAGAGTTCCGCACTTGCTTTAATGCTCCTGTTATAACCTTGAAATTCTCAAAAATTTTGGAACAAGTAGCCCCATATTTTTATTTTGCACCAAGCCCTGCAAATAAATTATGTAGCTGGTCATGTGGTCAATGCCATATCCTGATATCTGACAGCAGAAATTAACAGGAAAACATGAATCATAGCATTACTGCAGCAGAACAAGTATCTAATGATTGAAAATGAAGAGAAAGTGAAGAGAAAACTTAGAATCTTGTTTTATAGAAAGATGGTGATTCCCACGGGGAACTCAATAAAGAAGGCTTGAGAGAAAAACAGCTCTATAAGTCACAGTAAATGGAGTTTGACAATTTAACCCCTAAGGAGAGATGAGACAGAGAAGACTAAATCTGAGTCCTCAGAACAGAGGCTGTGATTAAGGTATAAGAAATTACATGAGACCACCAAGGAGTAAATGTGCAGGGAAAAGGAAAAAAGGAGAGACTTTGAGGGCAGGTTACCTTACTACATTCTGGCTTTGCTTTTGGAAGACTTATTCCCATACCAGAGTATTTCTCTGAAGACTTGGAAGAATGGTTCCAGTGGTGGAGCTAGGTGGAACCTCAAGAGGTAATCTGGCCCAACCATCCACACTTTAGGGATGAGAAAAACAATGCTCCAGAAAGCATAAAACAAACAAAAGATTCTATTTTCACTTTCCCAATGTGTTTAAATGTGCTGTCCAAAATTTAACAAAAAAAATCTTTGGCACCATGGTTTGGCTGGATACTGTCACGTGGCTTCTCCACAGCTCAACTCCTTCACTGTAAAAGGAGGCCAAAACCTCCCCGGCACATTCCTCCTCTTCCTCCAGTTGTGGTGTGATGTGATCACAGTCTAAGGGCACCTGGCTGAGGGTCTGAGGGCGGTCTAAAGCCGGGTCGCTCTCCACTAACCCAGCCTGAGGGGGGGCTACATCCATCTGCAAAGGGGGGACACCTTTCTCTGTTTCTAACTTGCCCAGAAGCTACATCCCTGTTAAGTGGTGATCTGAATACAAGAGATCTCTGTATGTGAAGTGCCTGGCAGGGGGTAAGCTATACATAAGGTGGAATATAATTCCTATGAACTCTGCACTGCACATTATTATAAAACTCATGACGTTTGCAACAAACGACAAATTAGAATTTATTGGCAATTCTTATACAAAGGATGCACCTTTTACGAACACTTGCAATAATTGCCCTGGATCTTACTGTAAAATTCTTGGAAATTTCCGATATTTATATAGCACTGGTAAAAATCACTGCAGTTTTAGGATTCTGTACAGCCCTCGGAAAAAGCACAGAGAAACGTCAGTGGAGGTATCACGTTATCGTAAGAAAAGTGATTTCCGTTAAGAATTTCTTAACTGCAACCAGATGTCGAGTACTGGTTCTCCCATACCAGGGAAGAAAACATGATTCTTACTGTCAAACATTTTCCTTCTCTCAGAATTTCTAAACTACCATCTAGCTTATCGGTCATTCAAGGCACCGCCACCGCCTGGGCTGGCAAGTTCCAGCTGCCGGCTCCTTCCACCACGGCCACCGCACGTCAGGACCGGAAGGCGCCGGAGGTGAGCTCCGGTCTCCGCCCACGTCTACCGCAGAAGCACCTTTTCAAATCCGAAACTCAGCGGCAAGCCCCGCGGCGCTCTCTGCAGAGGGCTTCCGGGCTCTCTTCTCCGGCGCTGTCCACACCCAGAAAAGCCTGTCCCTCAGGGTGGCCGGGCTGAAGCCCGACGTAAGATCGGGGAAGGGCGGTTCTCTGCCCGGACGCACCCTACAACCACCTAGGCCTGCCTCCACCCGAGACGAACGTAGTCAGTCTCTCTGGGGATTGGGGCTTCGGCTTGTGTATGTGGTTAGCACCACCCCTTCCGGGCGTACTAACCGGCGCCCGGGCTCGGGCCTCCGGGACGCACCGCAGTGACCACGCGGACGTAGGGGCGCCGACGCTCGCGCCCCGCCTTCCCCGCGCTTCTGACGCGCCGCTATCCGCGATGGCGCGCAGGGGCGGCCGCAGGCCCAGGTGAGCGACCGCGCCTCCTCCGATGAGCGATGAGCTAAGGCGTCGAGGGCCCGCCCAACAGCCGGAAAGGAGGCGTGGGCATGGAGCCGGCGGCGGCCGTGGAGACCCGAACCGGCGCCGCTGCCTAGGGCTCCGGGTGGGGTCTCCGTGGGGGCGCGCCCGTCGAGCTCCAGGGACCCGTGAGTCCCCGCGTGGCCCGGCTCTGCGCGGATGGCCTTCCTCCCGCAGCCCGCGCTCGCCTTACCCCTCCTCCTCCTGACCGCGTCCCTCACGTGCCAGGATGAGGGGCAGACCACCGACTGGAGGGCCACCCTTAAGACCATCCGGAACGGCGTGCACAAGATAGACACGTACCTGAACGCCGCCTTGGATCTCCTGGGGGGCGAGGACGGGCTCTGCCAGTATAAGTGCAGTGACGGTGAGAGGAGAGCCAGGCCCCGTGAGGCCCGTGCTTTCAGGGATACTGGGGAGTCGGAGGTCGTGGAGATGTGAGATGCAGGGCAGACCTTGATGGGGTCCTCGGGCCGTGGAAAAAGAGCCACTGCTAGAATCTTGCCATTCTTGTGACTGCACAACCTGGTTCCAACTTCGCACCACTAGTTAGAATGTGAGACATCGCCGGAGTGTACTCTCCATTCTGTTTTCATTGCTTCTGAATTACTTTTTTTTTTTTTTTGCAATTGCACGGAGTTGCCTTTAAGAACGTAGTGACGTGCACTTCGTGGGAATGGAGCACCGTGGCGACCACGGCTTAGTGCCTTTAAATTAGTTCAGCCGAACATGCAAAATGTGCCAAAATTTTTGAAGTCATGACGTTTTTACTTTTTTAAGAGTTGGTTTTAGATTTTTTTTGCAAAGCTACAGAAAATAAATAGCGACCTTTGTACAGACTTTTGGTGTACTCTACTGTTGGGAAAGAGTTCTGATAACTATTCTAGGAAATTAGGCTATCAAGACTTGACAGGAATTTTCTTTCCTTGGGTATCAGCGACGCCTGCTCATTGTTGGTTAATGAATTCTGATTTACTTTTTCATATTTTTAAACTTTAATTTTGTCTGAATCTGAGAACTTGTTTGATGGCATTGTTGGTGTTGGGGGAGTGTTGTTTTTTCCTCGGTCCTTGTCCCCGCCGCAACAAAGAATTGAAGGGCAGAGACACAGTAGTGAAGCAGAGTTAAAGTTTTATTTAAAGTTACTTAAAGAGAGAAAAAGTACAGGCCACCTCAGCAAAGAGAAGTGCCCTGAAAGGTTTGGAGAGAGAAAGTTTAAAAGGTTACAACACACTTAGAAGGTGTGGGTGACCTCAGAGAGAGGAGCGCCCGGAAAGGTTGGGGGTTCCCCCTTTTTAAGGATTCTGCAGGATTGTGACTAAGGCCTGGGGGTGCAGAACTGTTAAGTGGACCTTGAATACTTAGAATAAACACAAGGAACTTCCTGCTCTAATTTCTCGTAGTCATGGTGCGGGAACATATCAAACAAGGCTGCCTGCGCATTCCCCAAAGGTGAGCTGAGTTATTGTATGTTTGCTAAAGAATAAGTTAAGAATCTTCTTAACTTCCTGGGTATTAAAATACAGTCTTTAAAATGGAATCCTTTTTGCCTTTTACTATGTTTTTTACGGCTGGGCCTGCATGCTAAATTAGTTGCCTGGGTTACAAACTACTTGATTGGGCCGGAAGGAAAAAGAAAACAGCATTTAGGTAAAGTTAAAAAATAAGCTGGTCCTGTGTGATTAACATAATAAAGATATGGGCTGAGGTACCCTCCTTTATCTAGGGAATATTCAAACATTCCAGGCCAAGTTGTTTCTGGCTTTAGAGCTTTTAATTGATTAACTGTCTTTTTAGTGGACTTTCCTGGCCTATTTTCTCTTTCCATCCCACTCATACCTATTTTCCTGCCTAACATTGGTAATAATAAACTTACTATTTCAGGCCTACTTCTTGTTTTTTGAAGTACTTGACTTTTTAAAATGCCTCATATTGTAATAGTTTAAAGTACTTAGGCCTCTCTGGAAATTCAAAATGCTAAAATAATAATTGGAGGACCGTTTCCAATAAGAATTAGGTCTGGGCCCTGGCAGCTCAGAACAATAGGGAACTCAGGGACTTTAATGTAGTCAGACTGAATGGAGGAGAATAAAAGGAACCTATGTCATGTAAACCTGATGCCACCTCTGCCTATAATTCTCAAAATAATTTCTAGTTCTTTGTTAATGAAGGTAAAGAATGAGCAGTATATTGTATGCTTTAAGGACTAAATGTTAAATCCCTTCCTGAATTTATGCCTAAATATTGTCACCAGTATGCAATCAGGAAGAATGTTTATATCCTTGTAGAGCTTCTTAGGAATAAATGAATAATTTGAAGATTTAATGGTTATCTTTCTTTAGGCAGATGTAATGGTTTTACTTAGTCATCCATTCATTATACAAATATTTGAGTGACTGTTACATGTCAGCTGTTCTGTCAGTTGGAGATTCAGCAGTGAACAAACATAAAATTCATGCATGTGCGGTTTACATTCTAGCGGAGAGACAGTCACTAAAGTAATGAGCAAGAAAAATATACCAAGTGTGCAGTATATATAGGTCTGAAATATGCCAGTGCTTTGAGAACAAGAAAGCAGAGAAAACAGCATTGGCAGTTATGAGGCAGTTTACTCTTAAATAGATTGTTCAGGGAAGACCTCATTGATAATATTTGAGTAGAAGTTAAAAAATGGTGAAGGCAACACTCGTGATTTGAGGAAAGAACCCTCCAGGCTGAGGTGAAACGGCAGTTACAAAGGCCCTGAAGCGAGAGGCCAGTCAAGGGTGACTCTGAAGGTTTTGGCCTGAGCCAGAGGAAGGATGTAGTTTGCCATTTATTGATACAGGAGAGACTTGGAAGGAGCAGTCTCCATAAACTTAAAAACAATGAGTCAAGGGTTGTAGAGTTTAATTTACATTTAAAATATTTCTGATGCTGAATGGATACTATTCCTACTAAAAAGATTGTATTTTAGTTTTTTACTTAATGCTTTTTATCTTATACACTTCTCACTAAATTTACCATTGGAGTTTAGAGCAAGGTCTCTAGCATAAAAAACCCAAATAACCTTGGGAGTTTAGGAAGTGGTATGCTAATTTGTAAGAATTCTTTTATGTTTTAATAAGTACTGTCTACTTCTAGGACTGTGATTTCAGGTCACCATGTTGATAATTCCAACATAATGAAAATTGTTCTCTTACTATTACTTGAGAAGTTAACTGGAATCACAGTTTCAACATTTCCTGTGTTTTTGGAATGCAAGTGACCAAATCAGAACCAAACAGAAACAGACAAATCCCAAAGCTAGGGGAAAACAGTGATAAGAAGTGTTCAATAGTTGCAATAAAGAGGTAAAGGGAGCTTTTAAAAAAGACTCAGTGGTAGGGAGAGGGTGATCATACTAAAAGGCATAGACTTGTTGCATTCAGTTATCCTTGCTTTACTGAAAGGACTGGTTTTATGGAAATTTGCTTCTTCCTTTTTGCCATCCTTCCTCGAGCGGAAAAAAGCTTTTTTGAGAGTGAAGTGAAGTGATTTAGGGGATCATATTTGGTGGTTGCTATTTTTTTCTTATCTTTTTTCTCCCTGACAACAGAAGATTTGAAAAAGAAAATTTACTGATTTCCTTGGAAAAATTGAAAACAAAAGTGGCTAAAAAAGTCATTAATCCACTCAGTGATTTATGTTTTAACAGGATCCCCTTGGCTCTTGTACAGAGGATAGTGAGTGAAAGAGAGCAAGAATAGAGGCAGGTGACAGATGTGGGGAGTTCAGACAAAAGATGGTGGTTTGTCTGGGTTGGTAGCAATAAAGGTAGTGAGAAGTGGTTGGATTTGGATATATTTTGAAGGAAGAACCAAGAGGATTTACTGATGGCTTAGAGTTGAAATGATTCCAAAGTTTTTGACCAGAATAATTGGAAGGATGGAGTAGCAGTTAACTGAAATGGGGAAGACCATGGAAATAAGTTTTTGACTCATTAGGAAAAATAATAGTATATTTCTGTGCTTTCTGGAATGATTCAGGAGAGAGTTAAACACTGATGAGGGAGAAAGGGAGGAGAGTTACTGGCGTCATGTCCTTAATCAAGTGAGAGGAGTGGGTTCTAGTATATAAATAGACTGGACATGAGCAAAGAAAACATCCCTGGTAATAGGGACAAAGGTAGAGGATATAGGCACAGATGCCAGTTAGATGGTAGGTGTTCAAGGTCTCTGCCGAAATGTCTTGGTTTTTTTGTTAAGTAGGAATCAAGGTCATCAGCTGAGAGAGTAGATGGGAATGGAAGTGTTGGAAATTTGAGGAAAATAGGAAAGTTAAGACTAGAAAAATAAAATAGCATAAGGGCCCTATGCAGATTAACAATCATGAATTTAAAGCACTGAGTATTGGGGAAAAGCAGATTAGTATTGACACTATGTTTTTTACAAAACAAGGTATGAAGATCTTTGTATGACCCACAGCCTTCCCCTTAAGTTGAATCTGCTTCAGTGACTTTCAGGTAAAATAAATTGGTCTGTTTGAAGTATTTACATCAAATTAAGAAAAATACATAGAAAAGAATTATTGTTGTCACAGTACAGGCAAATCTTTACATTTCAGCTGTTCATACAGATAATGAATCATAAAGCCTCAGGAGAGGAGCAGTTGCTTAAGTCAAAAAATGAGATCAGTGAGTAAGTATTTCTATGAGTTGTGTATGATGGAGTTGGTTTGTTTTTAAAATTCTTCCTAGCTCATTTTTTAATTTAGCTGTCATACCTGGGGGCAGTGGCCCCGATACATCATGGTTTTTGGTTTTGGTCTGATAAGGTTTCTTTTATTACTGAATTTTTGCTTGCTTTGCATATTAGTCTTACAAGGCTGCCATAGCAAAATACCATGGACTGGGTGACTTAAACAACAGGAATTTATTTATTCTAGTTCTGGAAGCTGGAAAATCTAAGATCAGGGTTTGACAAATACAGTTTATGGTGAGGGCTCTATTCCAGGCTTGCCAACAGTACCTTCTTGCTGTTTACTCACATGGTAGGGGCAAGTTCTCTCGTGTCTCTTCTTAAAAAGGTACTGACCCTGTCATGAGGGCCCTACTCTCATGACCACATCTGAACCTAAGTACCTCCCAGAGGTCCCATCACCAAATACATTGGAGGTTAGGGCTTCAGGATAGGGATTTGGTGGGGTACACAGTTCAGCTCATAGCACCCTGTAAAAACTGGTACTAGTAGAAATGCTAAATTGTTTTAATGTTCAGCTTTTAACAACATTTATAACATTTAAAATGATATAATACTTTTGTAGTTTTGATGTCTGCATCAACTTGATCTCTAGTACAAATTCTCTGTATAATTTTTTCAGAAATAATTATTTCAATTTCAAGGTAAA